TCCGCCGCACAGTGGCCATCAAACACACATAAGCAGAACCGACCACACGCACACACAGTACATGCAAAACACTCAAAGGGCCCTCTCCAGTCCAGCCAGCCAAGGCCTCCTGTGTGTCTTTTATTACTGAATCAGCCAACCAACCAATTTTGCCCTGAATGGTCATGCAGAGAATACTGACTACAAGCCAGTTCTGCACTGATAAAGTCAGGGCGGCTCTCAAGCCTAAACGCATGAAGTTCATCCGTCATGCTAAATTGATTTTTATAGTAAGAGTTTGGGAGCAGGACTATTTTCATGTTGTAACAGACATTCAGAGAAACATCTACTCTCCTATTCACCAACAGTGACACTAATGTTCATTTCCCATCCAGAATTCAGTAAAATAATGCAGTGCTCACTTCACAAAATGAGACCCCACACAGACTGCCTGAAACCATCTATCAAATTTACTCTCAAAAAAAAGCAAAGTGTCTATTCGAATCCATCTGGAGGTTGTTTTACTTAACACACAGCGCTTCCACTTAATCTCTCCCCACATTTTTCTCTAAAGAGGGAAAAATTATTTTGCTTCGGAGGGAACTTGAAATCCCAGTGTGGATTCTGTCTAAAAGGCTTAAAATGTCACTAAATGCCAAATCATAAACTCCCGCCGACTTGTAGGTCTTTAAGACAAGATGTTAAAGCATCCGAGAGCTACCTGAAACTGATGAGGTTAATATTCTTATCACAAACGCAAGGTGCAGAGAGAGGTGCTTATTGAATATGTAGTCTGCAGCACGCTCTTTCACATTACGCAGCATCACACGGCTCTCTCGGAGGTGCCAACGGCAATTACTCCTTTAATTGTTTATCATCAAAGCATTTAAACACTGCAATAAAACGCCAAAGTGTTGCAGGAAAAAAAGGCTGACATGCCTGAAAGATTTTCAGCTAAACTTCATTGAGTAGAAGCTCAGGATTTCAGTCTCATGCCAGAAAGAGACCAAAGAAGACTCTGTAAATTGCTGACAAAAAAGTAGAATTCTAATGCAGTAGCCCAGTGTTGCCTAAACATTTTGGTCTAATAAATAAAATAATCAAATATTGGTTTGAAAAATCAGTCAAATAAAAAAAAAATTAAACCGCAATTAACTGCTGATTCGGATATCTTCGTGCATCTCTAACATACATAAAGTCCTTGGTATGGTTTTGTGCATTTATAATACAATAAAATATGGGTTTCTGAAAGACCCATATTTCAGAATTTGGAAAGCAGAAACTCTTCCATTTGTTGAACATCTAATAGTACAAGGGAGATGAAATTACACTTCTATTCAGCAGAGAGAGGATATCGTCTCCAGAGCGAGTTTGGCACCAGTGTGAAGCAAGTCAGTCCAGATTGTGGGTGAAAAAAAAAAAAAGAAAAGACACGCTGGTATTTGGGAAGTGTCCTGCTGTATCCCTGCTGTTGAGGGCCCACTGCACAGATCCAGGAAAGCAGGCGCGGCAGAGAAGGGAGCGGCCACTCGGGCGAACGGGGTAAAGCAGAGGGGAAAAAGTTGCTCCACGGCTGAGCGGAGTGGAGCCGATTCCTGCAATGGCGCTGATAACGTGGCTGGATTATGGATGTTTAAGGGAAGGGAAAATTATTCATTTGAGATGGATGAAAAGCTGCACTTGTCAAGTCTCCCAGTCATGCACTTTATCCATTTCATCCCCGCTAGCCAGCACGCATATTTTTCCTCAATGCTAATTTTTTTTCTCCCTTTTGCTCTTTTAAACACAGTGAAATCTGTGAGCACATTACCATCTCTCTTTAACCACACTGACTGACACACAGACAAAAATGAAAATCTCTCTGGAAAAAATGAATTCCATATAAAACTGAAGAAGTAAGATAGAGGAGGAAAAAAAACAAACAAAAAAAAACAACAAAAAAAAACAACGACAGTGTGTTACATCATTAGAAACACATTTCATATGCACACTCCAAAACAAACTCAGCAGTACAGCTGCAACAATGCCCATAAACCCGTGTATGTGAAGTGAAGTGGGGGGGGTGTGGGAGGGGGTGGATTTCACAGAGCCGGAATGTAAGGCGAGTGTTGAGCCGTGATCCAGCATTTAGCCGCAGATCAAACAGCATGTCTAGTAACTGTAGTCATGCTTAATTATCAGAACAGGCCTTCTGCCAGTCTTTCGCTTGGAATGCAATTAATGATTAAAGCAACAAAGTCTTTCCTCCTGCCCATGCTGGCTCTGAGACGCTTATGATGCACAGAATATGTCAGCCTCTCTGTACAAATATTATGATCGGCCTGATGAGGGCCCAGTCTCCAGTGTGGATGGCCAATAAATTAGAGGCACGCTTCTCGTTTACTCATCAGAGCTAATGAGCCTGATAAAATTACCTCGAGGATCATAATTACAGGCTAGTGGCAGAGACACTGGCACTCACTGTGCGCCACACGCACGCATACACAAAGACAAACAGTACGGCACATGGCATGTGGGCCTGCATTAAACTCTTGGGCAGGGTTAGACCACCTCAGTACATTTTAAATAACTACCTCGTCACGAAGTATGACTATTCAGCATCTTCTCCTCGAACCAAGAAGAACTGTAGCACCCCTGAAAGATCAGAAATGAATCACAAACAACACGATTAATGCCTCTCTCATCCTTAGTCAGAACTATGATAAGAATACTCTTGATACTTCTTGCAAAATTCCTTATACAATCAGTGAGCAAACAAAAGCGAGGCATTACTATTATAGCCCAAAGTGTGCCTTTGTATGAGTGCAGGGGTTACTGTTTGTAGACAATTTTTCCAAATGACAGCAGCCCAGGCTCCAAATGAGTCGAACCGGCGCCGCCGTGCTTAATTCCTTCATTACGGGTCAACCCCGTTATCAGCATCCTCATATACATTAAGCACTCCTTCCATAATGGCATCTTTTGATGGGCACGGGCGGAGCAGGGCGCGAGGAGCTAACCTCAGAGGATTTTCATCTCGCCAGCCATTCGCAGGCCGAATTGTTTTTAACTTATGAATATTAATGCCCCTCTAATTTGAGCCTGTTGTTAATGCTTGTCGCTAGGAGCCTGGCAAATCAGGTCCCCTTCCTGTTAAAGCCATGTATTAGACACCCCCCTGACACTAAGCCCCCGCCTTTGATTCTTAATTGCAGAAGCGTGAGCATTTGCGGGAGATGGGGCGCAAAGCTTTAATTAACTCTAATATCGTACGTATTCAGTCTCGACTGTCACCCGCATCAACGCCTCGTGTTCTGTGCCCAATATCATATCCCGGCTCCTCTCAGCTAGAAAGATGGTGTTCCAAGTTCATGAGCACAATTTCATGCATCTTAAAAACTGCGGATGGGTGGCCTATAAGTAGTAGGCCCAATATTAAATGTGAGTAAATTATCGTAACGTATTTCACTAAAACCCATATTAAATGATGGCTATATGAATAGAGGGGTTTTAAAGCATGAGGGATGCTAGGGGCCCCACAGCTGCCACTGCAATTTTAATTTGGAATGAGAGAGGGATGTAATCCTCAGGCAAGTTGAGGATAGACAGGGTATTCGGACAGTGGTGCACCTGTGACTATTTCACAATGCATGCACATATTAAGATGATGTGGGGTTTACCATAAAACACCACCAATCCATAACCAATATACACACATATACATATACAGAAATGTCCACGGCTGAAAGACAACGCTTTCAAAGTCCACTCTAGGAAGATTTTCATTACAAAAAGTTCTACATGTCCTTCGCAAAACGTAAAATACTTTACTACTAGTGAAAAACATTTTGGATAAGATTGGAGCAGCTTTTAAAACCGTACTTTTATTGCCCAAAATTGCGTGATATTTTCAGTTGGAAAATAGAACACTGGCAGTTCCAATAAGACTCTTTGGGGACGGAGACTACTTTCATACTGCAACACACACACACACACACACACACACACACACTTACTTACTTACTTCTACAGAGAATATGATGCCTATATCCAAATCTCTGTAGGTTACAATAGCTCAGAGACCCAACTCAAGCACCATGTCAACTCCTCACCATCTCACAATGGAAATCTGAAAGGGACTGTTTGGTTATGACATAAAATAACAAAATCAATTGACAACTGTTTAAACACATATCTCCAGGATTTATTATATATACTTTAAATAAAAACAAACATATTTATACTTTGAAAGCATCTCCCAAGAGAAGACACAGTTTAAAACATTTTAAAACAGACTTCTTCGATATATATACGCCTTCAACAGTTCCTTCCAATATTACTCATACACTGACTCAAACGCATGTCATTCTGGAACCAAGAAAACAACTTTCTGAACACATCACTACGGTCTGCACTTAATTAAACGTGGTTAATGTATTTAGAAAGTAAAAATACAGCTAATTATCTATCTCCCGAGCATACAAGCTTTCACGGATGCCAAATCTTCAGCTCCATTTACCATTTAACACAAAATTAGAGCTGGGCAAAGGAGAAAGTGTATAGAGAGTTTTTTTTTTTTTGGACTCCCCTACATGTGATCCATGTGAGCCTATAGTGCCACCTTCAGGGCATCAGTGGAAGTGCAACCCTACAGAAAAAAGCAATGCTGAAATTTGGTCTCCTTTTCCTTATGAAGCTTGTGCAATTTCAATGATAAAACTGAATTATTTTGTATTACAAAACAATTGTAACTGTAATTTTTTATTACATTATAATTTTTGGAAACAATCTGAATGAGCTGAATTTAGCAGATCTGAACTGTAGTTTAATGATGTTGTGAAGTGCAGTTAAAACAAAAAGAGCTTTCTTCCTGAAACAATTAAGCCAAACCATAATGCACAGAACACAGTAAAGTAGGTGAGTCAACTAAAGGTGGGGAAAAAAAAGTGTTAAGGATTTTGGATGAGTGCAGATACAGTAATAATGTGAACTTCACACCTAATATGTGCGCAAACACATCACACAAAAAACTATGGAAACCAAAATCTTAAAACTAACCTACACATTGTTTTCTGTAGAACCCTGTCGTGACGCTGAGTGTTCTGTGACAGGTCTGCGATGAAGGTCATGGAAAGCTGACCCCCCCAAGCTTCTGAGCAGTGACTTCAGGCCTACCTCTCTTCCATGTCACGTGGCTGTACATGCTGAGACTGACAGCTAGTCATCAGCTTAAAGCCAGATCCTGTGAACTTCTGTTCTCCTGAAGATCATCCCTCCACCAAGGCTTTTTTACTTCTTCGTCTGAACAACTTTGAGAAGGATGACTTTCTCTTGCTTTTTAGTTTTTTTAGACCTAGCCGAAAGGGAGAAGGAATTGGAAAGTATGTTTTTGATGTGTTCTTGTACATTTAGTTCAAACAAGAACTAAACAGCAGCCAAACTTGGCAGGTGCCACTCACCAAGTCTTTGCATCAATTCATTCAGTTGCTGATCTTCTTCTACCTCCCTGGAAAAAACAAACAAAAGCAAATTTTTAAATTCAAGCTATTAAAAAAATTAAACATTTCAATTTAGTGTATAATCTCTAGAGGTCATCTCTATAAACTTTATAGCAGTTAACTTACTATTACAAGCACAATTACAAATGATAATCCATTTTAGGAATTTAGGAATGTATTATTAACACTATAAACTTTAAGTATATAAATTATATGGCCAAAAGTATGAGGACAGCCCTTCAAATTATTGAGGTTAGTTGTTTCAGCCATATCCATTGCTAACAGGTGTATAAAATGAAGCAAGCAGCCATACAATCTCCATAAACAAATACTGGTAGTAGAATGGGTCGCACTGAAGAGCTCAGTGACTATAAACGTGGCACCATCATAAGAACCACCTTTACCACAAGTTAGCATGTGAAATTTCTCCCTTGCTAAATCTGCCCTGGTTAACTTTATTATTATGAAATTGAAGCATCTAGGAGTGACAACAGCTCAGATACCAAGCGATAGACCATGCAAATTCATAGTGCCAAAATGCTGAATGATGACGTCTCAAAAAATGAATAAATAAATAAAGTAAAACTGCCTTTGAAAGTAACAGCAGCACAAGAACTGGGCATCAGAAGCTTCATGAAATGGGTTTCCATCACCGAGTGGCTGCACACAAGACTAAGATCGTTGCGTGATGTAGTGTAAAGCACATCACCAAAGGACTCTGGAGCAGTGAAAATGTTTCCTTTGGAAAGATGAGTTACGATTCACTATCTGGTAGTCTGATGGACAAATCAGGGTTTGGTGGATGCCCGTAGAAGGGAAATTTGTCTGGGGCAGTTTTTCAGCGTTTGGGTTAGGCCCCTTAGTTCCAGTAAAGGGTACCCTAATGCTACAGCATACAAAGACGTTGTAGACAATTATATGCTTCCAACTTTGTGGCAACAGTTTTCATGTTCCAGGATGACAATGCCACTGTGCACAAAACAACTCTATACTTATTCCCAAGCTTTGGAAAGGGATGTCCAACAAGCTCATATAGGTGTGATGGTCAGGTGTCCACTCATATTTGGCCATAGAGTTTATTTGTATAGTCGTTATTCAGCACGATTTACTGATTCTGATCTGAAACAAAGTTTTTTATAGGGATGAACACATGAAGTAAACAGTGAAACAGATGACTGAGTGTCCTAAACAAAGAGCATTCTGAAAAGCAGAGCAGGGTTTAGTTAAGGACTGCTGACCTCAGTCTGTCTTCCTCCAGTCCCTCCACAATGGCGTTCCTGTCATTCACAATCTCTACCAACCGATTCATCAGATAAGACTCCCTCTTCCTTTCAGCTGTGCTCTTTAGATGCTCTAAAACAGGTCACAATACTTTCAACAATGTAGCCAGCTCAACTACAGAATGCACTAGATGAGTGCAACATTACTAAAAGAATATATATACATACATAGATGGGCCAGGAACATGCTTTTTGTGAGTGTTACCTGGTTTATTTATCAGTCTTCTGAGCTCTCCCTCCACTCCTGGTTGCTGCTCCTCTAAATCTTGAGTTTTTACTCTGTTAAAGATCAGGTCAAGGATTTACTCTGTCAAAGATTTACACTGACATTGAATACACTGAAAACATTATTCTACCCATAACACAACATTATTAAAGCATTAAAATATTTTAATGAAAGCATAATAAAATGTTATTGCTGATCTGTCCAGCTCCATCATGCAAAGCAGTAACTGAATTGACTCAGGACTGAAAAGTCCTCACTGAGAAGTAAATTCTTTTATTTAAACAATAATCTAAAAGGATCACCTACATGTACATGAGCTCAGATTCTCTCCGTATGTAACTTTGCTTCTTTCGAATCAGGTTAAACCAGTCCACCATCAATGGATCCATCAGAATGTCCCCACTCCCCTCTGTAAAACAAGCCAAGGTTATACAAGAGAAGCCTCCAGAAGTCTCTGATGATTGAAGACTGAACAGAGTTGCCAACCCAAGCTAAAATCATGGTTACATATTCTCTGGAGGAAGCAACCATTTTGCACCAAAAATGCCTGGCGTATATCTGTTTGAAATACGACTCTGTTTTATTCCACATTTAATATAGCACTGTAACACAGTCCAAAATATCTGTTGTGCCGCTGACATTGCTTTGAGGTGGAGAACAGCTCTTGCACACACACAGACGTATACGCTCATACACACATTGGCGTAATTCGATCAAGTGCTGGGCTAGATTTGGCCTGGGCCAAGAGGCAACAGGGCCCTATCAAATCCCGCTGGCTGCTAGCAGCAGGACAGGTGAGGCTGGTAGTGTGGAGACGATATTACCACGGTGACCTTGAAACCAGCCAATCAGGTATCCCTGTCCCCGCTCAGCCACCACTCTGACTACAGCATGCTGCCTCTTTCCATTTCCTTCCCAGAATCCCGCAGGAGGAGAGGAAGCTTCCCCCGCACCTCGCCTCATTTGGCCTCGGCTGCTGGATATTAGCGGCCCTTTATTGGCCACTGCCCAGCCCTCAAGGCTGCGGTGGAATTCCGCCTCCCAGGTGGACAGGTTCAGCTAACAGGTTCCTCAGTCAGGCACACTTATGCACACAGCTACTACACTCTGAGTAAAGCACATTCTAGTGTCAGATTCATCTTACATTTATGTTGACTTGACTGCACCTAGCTTATTTAGTGCTATACAACCTTGAAAGAGTTTCTATGATTTGTTCGTTCTCAAAACGGACTCACTGCAAATTCAATTAACCCCTTAAACCCTCAGAGCATATATGTTCAATCTCAACTCACTCTCTGAACTACATAACTCACATATTAATTCCATAGTAGTTTCAGTAATCACTAATTTATAATAAGTATAAAGATTAAGAACTAAACAATAAGCCTTTAATGGGTTCAAGTTTCCATTCTTTGTGAAAGACTCCAAATGATTCCATTCTCCCTTTATTTCACCCAGGACAGCCACAATTACTTATTTAAAATCAATTACTTGCTTAAAATACGCACTCAATGAACTGGTTTAGAAATGACGTTACAGTTTGACTGATAAACAGGGTACCTGTGGGTCACTATAAAGCTATGCTGAACAGGCTAAAGACTCTCCACAAGGTGTACCAATTAGCACTCAAGTCACTTTTGAGAGCATCCCTGAAACAGAGGAAACCCACACCAGCAAGATTTGTAGTTAAAAATATCAATGTTTGATGCTACAGATTGTGTATATATAAAGTAATAAGGTATATGAAGTAAAGGTTTTTGTTCAACTTACGTTATTCCAATAACCGTCAGTTACGATTTACTGAAAAAAAATGTAAAAAAATGTCCCTAAACATGAGCATGAACAGTTACTTAAACTTACTCTTATAAACTCAACAAAATGCAACACTAAGTGCCGCCTGCAGGCACTCCTATATAGACCAGTGTAGGTTTACATGGACGCCTGCACAAAATCAGGACGCATGCCACGTGCATGAAGCATCATGAACACGTTCAGTTTTGCCAGTCACGCAGCACGGTGTTATCACATATTTCTCTTTTGCGAGGCTTTCCATTTTAACTGTTTTGTTTCACTCAGTTAATTACAACTCGCCTGCGCTGGTCATTCACACAGCGTTTGTGCTGCTGAGCAGAGAAGCAAGAAAGTTCTACATGTCAACTTCTATCAAACGAAGAAACAGTCAAATCTGACACTTTGCTCAAGAAAAATATAAATTTTTAAAAGCGCATGGTACATTTACCCTGGACAGCATTCTGACTTGTGATCGAGCAATTTTTTCAAGCCTGATGGACCAGGAAACTTAAGCATGACGAACAACGAATCAGCAGGTAAAACCCATTCAACAGGTGTGGAGTAAACTTAATGTGATAAACTAACAAGCCTGGAATAGTGAACTGTCTTTGTTAGATATAGCAAACAATTAAATATTTTAGACACCAATTACGAGTTACAAAATGAAATTGAGGATGAGTGAAGAGGTAAAAACAAACATGAGGAGAGGCTGCAGGAGACAACAACTAAACACTGCTTCTATACTGAAGAAGCTACTAGATACTACCGGTAGAATTTACACAATGAATACTTACTAGTTATTTAGCTATAACTTATTAGCTATACCACTACTACTACTACTACTACTACTACTAATGGCAACAGTAGCAACAACAGTACTAGTAATAACACATTATTTTTGCAGAGGTGTTATGGTTATAACTGTTACCATTAAAAATTGTTACTTTTTTGGTTTAATATCGTGATATAATCTAAACCATGATATAAACTGGAGTTCATATTGCCCACCCCTATTTTCAGGCTACTTATAAAGTGAAGACTTCTAGATTTCTGCAGTACTGCTATATAGCAATGATAGTAATAATAATAATAATAATAATAATAATAATAATGAATTCTCAAAACAGCTTAAACGTATTAAACTGATTTTGTTGATACCTGCTTAACACATTTTAAATTGTCCAACTGGTCTCTTTTTGACACAGTGTTTTATTTATATATGCTTCTGCAATCTTTATGTTTTCCAGTAAAGTGTTCTGAAATATCTGAAAGGCACTGCATGAGACAAAGAAAAAAAAATAATCAACAAAAATAATCAGAAGAATTAAGGGAATCGTTATCAATATAAATTTTACTATCATGGTACACAACGCTTTTTCAGCAAAGAACTTTAGTCCTGATTAACTGGTCTTAGTGCAGTAAAGAATGTGAAAATATTGAATGTAAATCATTGTATTGAGTATCCAATGGCTGTTTATAAATGTGTCACTAGTACATTGTGTCTTAAATATTAAGATATGTATTGTGTTTTGTGAAAACATTTTTAGTATCATGATATTACATTTCAGCCATCTTGCAAACCTATAACTAGATTACTCGATTAGTCATATAATCGATAGTGACAGCCCTAATTTGAGACTTTTTCTGAGAGATTACTGAGGACAAATAATAAAAATAAATTAAAAAAACACACACACACACACACACACACACACACACACACACACACACACACACACACACACACACAGGGAATCAGGAAGGTAATATGAACTGCAAGAGGAACTTCCCCTCTTCCCCTACCTTCCTCACAGCTGCGGAGTCTCCTCTCCAGATCTATTCCTTCCTTCTCCAAATCACTCAGGCTGTCCTCAATTTCCTGCAGCTCCTTAGTGATCTGCTCCATCGGGATATGGTGAGACTTGATCTGAACAAGGAGAGATATGGTGTGCGTAGAATACAGCGTGTGATAAGGTGCTGCAATTTTAAAACAGTGAGCTGAACGTTCTGCTGAACAGACAAAGGACAACTGAATAAAACAAGAAGTATAAGAGTGAAGTTCATATGTGAGCACTTACTGGGGGTGATATTGTTTCAGATGTTAAAGTGTTTTTGAACGTCACATTTCCATTTTCAGAACCTAAAAAATAAGTGAAACAAATAAACAATTCCCACTAGTACTTACTTAGCCACTTTTTAAAGACAAATAAACAATCAAAAATGCTAATAACAGCCCTACTAATAACACAAGACTTTGCTTCTCTGCTCAAATGCACCTGATTCAACTGTCAGCAGTCAGGTAGCAGGTTTAATAGGTGTGTGAACAAGGAAACTACCAAACAGTGTTGGACTCTATCTGGTCCTCCAGGACCAGAACTGTACCCTCCTTAACTATGCAAAAGGATTACGCCTACTGGCCCACAATAGCTTTCATTTATTGTTAGCCAAGTAAGCATGTTTTGAAGTATCTATTTCCATTTTTCTTCTCGACACAAAACCTCACCATGCTCTGCAGGAACACAATGGTTTGACTGTTTAGGAGAAGGTGCTCTGGGTTTGGATGATTCACGCAAGGAGAGACTGACATCCAGCGCAGGCTGGTGGGATGGAGAGTCAGATCTTCTTGGGATGGAATTTCTAGATGTATTACCTAAAAAAAACAGAGCAGATACAATAGAATTTAGATAACTGAAGGCTTCAGGCAATTTTTTGCACAATTTAAGCCAAAGAATAAGGTCCTACTGGAGCCAGTGAGCCCTCCTAGGTGTTGTTCTGGAATTGGATCTTTGCAACTGGGGGATGAGCTAATGGAACTCTCATATATAGGGGCTGAAGGTAAAAAGGGAGCACTAAATGAGATATTATACCTAGCAATAACCAAATCCAAATATTGTGCTAGTGCAATGTAGCCTGGTAATACCCCTTCCAGTAGACCCAAGACGAGTCTCTTCTGGAGGAAGAACTGTGGGGCTGGGTGGTTTGACGAGGGAGGAGTTCACAGACCAAGTTCTACCACTAGGAGAGAAAGCTGGTGTATGAATCTCGTTCTTAAAGCCTGCAGCAAAGAAAGAAACAGAACCAAATCTTACCAAATCAATAAATGACACGAAATCCATAATGTCAAAAATTCCTTATGTACTATTCCTCTAGGTACTCTTAGGACAAAGTCAACACATTGTTACATTACTTGCTAGAAAGATGAGTAAATGCTTTTATGCAATAATGTTGATGTAAACAAAATTCTTTTAAAAAGTAGTTGCATGCAGAGTGGGACCTACCCCAGCCAGCAGGGCCATGACGTGGTTGATCTGTGACCAGAGATTTTTGAGTGGAATGGTCAACTACAGGATGACTAGGGTTCGGAGCTTGGAAGATGGACGTAGCAGGAGTGTACTGATAATTCAGCTGGTTGTTGGAGTTGGAATTGATGTTGGTTTTCTCAGGAGTCACACCCTTAACCTCAGTAACACTGCAAATTCTAGAGAAAGAAAACCTCAAAAGCTCAATCAAAACAACATTTCCTAATTGAGATTAATTTAAAGTTTATCATTCAAAATGAAGTACCTCACCTTTTTTTCAACAATTAAAAAGCAGCAGAGGTAAACAAAAAAAAGGTTCGCTCAAACTAACAGCACATTCAAGCACAGCACTCCTTAGGACTTGCGAGGACAGGGGAAAGAGTGAGCTGCTGCACTCGGAGCCAGTCAATCACTACTGAGATGGGGGTGGCTGGAGAGAGCAGTAGGCTGGGGAAGGAATACATGAAAAGGCCCTGCTGTCAGCACTCCTGCTCTGAAGTGTCATTGCTGCTTGCACCCCGGGTGACTTGCGCCTGCTTCTCCCCCTCGTGTGGATTAGAAAGCATTAGGGATAAACGGGGCAGATCAAACTTACTTTAGTCCTGGTCCATTTGGAGACACATTCAGCTTTGACTGCCAGTCAGCTGGCTTTTCACAGCTCCCTACGTCTTTGGCTGCAACCAGCAGAAGGAAAAAAGAAAGGAAAAAAAAACAAGAAAATTACTCAACAAACAAACATATGAGTCACACATGATCAAATTATGCTATTTAAAGCAATGTTGAGAAGCATGAAAAACAAAAACACCAAACTCTACAGGTTGTGTTGGGTTAAAAAAAATAAATAAATAATAATAAAAAAAAGTGTCACAAGTTTCTCTGCCTCATTTTGATAGACTAAATGAAACACACCTAAGGTTGGAACAAGCACTCCAAGAATATTGCAAGTGCTTTTATATATTGCTCGCTCCATGCCTCAACACTCGTCCTCTCTGCTTATAGCCAATGTTTATGATAATATTTTCCCTGCGACCTTTAGAAAGCATTTAAAATGGACCATGGTCTATATAAGCAAAGGTCACGCGCACGCAAATAGCACCTCTGGCGATGGAGAGGGGAGCAGAGGGAAGTCTAGTGTGCTCCTTGCTGATGGCGTTCAGCCAGAGGGACTCTCTGCTGCTGGTAGTGGTACTGGTGGGGGAGGGTAAAAGCTGGCCGGTTCTTCGTTCTCCTGCAGCTGAGCCAGGCCTCTCCTGCTTCCAGCTGGGGACTTCATCAGACGAGCGTCTGCTTCCCAATCTGAGAAAAAACATGTCTTCTGCATTATTCACTATTTACACTTGCATTACACTGCATGGTGCTGTCTGTCTGTTCAACTGAATGCTTGACAGTGGAATTAGTCACATAATCCTACTCAGCATAATCATGAGCCTGACTGAAATTAATTGCTCAAAAGACTCCCACTTTCTCTCGGTATGGCTCACACACACACACACACACATATAAACAAACTGGACCGCTTCTTTGGCTTGCAAGCTATCTATAGCAACAGCCTGAGCACAGCCAGTTAGAATGCACATGGCAACATATGCCAACCAAACACCATCGCTAGATATATCCAAGTAAACAACAAAACATGAATCAGATGTGCAGAAGGGATGCGCAATATATTTGATAACATATTTATTGTACTCCAGAAGACATTCAGCCAACACTAGGCAACTATACTAAAACGCCCGCATTTTATTTTTATTCTACTGCATTCAAAGTTCTACAGAAATAAATGAAATAATTTTCCCAGTCATGTTAAACCAAGCAGATGGTCCAATTTCCAAATTTTATAAATGCTTATGTATCGGCATCAGCAGATATATGCAAACATGGACATCAGAATCCCTATAACAGCATATACCTAGCTGAAACAGATTAAATTTCCAATAAAAAGTTCTTTGGAGCAATGTCATAAAGAGATCCACTTTTGGTTGCCCAAATAACCTTCTAATCAGCTTTAAAGAATCACTTATGTGAATGAGATGTGCATGAGAAGAATCTTTTTAAAGGTTTAAAGAACCTTCAGATGATGTAAAAGTTCTATTGGGGTATAACAACACATTGTGATATCATGATATTGCAATACAAAACTGACAGTGTGCATCATGAAGATGTGACTATGCATTGTGAAGAATGGATACTATCTAATGCAACTGGATTGTTTTGCAAACGATCAGCACTGATCAACAACTCCCTGCAGCACTCCTCCTGCATCCCAGCTTTCCATTTTCCTTCAGTAAGTCGGTCAACAACATTTTGCTTCTTTTGAACTTTGCTCAAAATATTGTGAGAATACCAAACAGGCACCCCAGCATCACAAATCTAACAGAACCATGGCCTGGGTGTATTGTTACACCCTTAGTTTCTATACAAATTAAAGGCTTTCTGAGAACCCAGCCAAAAATTATTTAAGGACCTTTACTCTAAAGAATGTAGCAGTCTTACCTGTTGTCTGCTCCAAGACCACAGCTATATGCCCTGTTGTTATTGTTGCAATTTCCTTCAGCTAGTTTCTTCGCGATCAAGGCTCGGGCCCGCTCCTTCTCTTCTTCAGACTTCAGGCTGACACCGTTCTGGGCAACAGGAGGCTCAGAGGGGCGCCTTACGCTGGCTGAAGGCTGCGGACCTGAGTCTGAAGACAGGAAGAATTTCTGCCTGGCTGCTTGGGTCCTCTGTGCGGAGGCTGTCCATGGCTGAGGGGCTGGGCTGGGCTCCGCTGGTCTGGGCACAGACTTAACAGGGCTGGACAGCACAGAAACGTGCCGTGGAGGAGATGGCCCACTTCCATTCTCAGATTTGGGTCCTACCACAGCAGGATCTGAGCCCAAAGGCTTAGATGAAGACATAAGGCCGTTCTTTGTACAGTGATGGGAAGAGCAAAGCAGGGTGCCTGGCTCATGGCCTGAATTATAGGCCCCAGACTGTAGAGGAGCTGAACACTTACAACACCTGTAGGACAGTATTCAAAAGAACTTACTTAGAGTCCTTAGATACAAGAAAACATGCCATCTGGCTTTGTTTACACTTGGCATTAACATCCAATAAGTGAAATCTGATCTGTATTTGCTTTTAAAAGCATTTGGCAATCGTGATGTATGGAGTGGGCAATATGACTATAATTATCGTATCATTAATTTCTGAGCATATTGGGGATCTTGTCTATTCCTCAAGAACAATGACCAACTGCATGTTTCATTACAAACAGAGATCTGGTTCAGTGCAGTGTTGGAAACATTTAATTAAATCACTGTACTCTGTTTTAGGGTATGGGAAAAATATATCATTGTGATAATTTAAGGCATTTTCACAATACCCAATGTGTCACCACAATGTGACAAATTGGGAACAGACAAAAAGAACCAGTGTTGCCACATTTGAAAAACATTATTAAAAACTGTTAATAATTTTTTTTTCAATGTTTCACAGACTGAACTGCATTAGATCCAGTTAAGCATTATGTTCACTTTGTAAGGAAACATGTAGCTGGTTAGTGTCATTTAAGTACTTGCTATATCCACAAAAAAAGCATTTTGTAACATATTGTGATGCAATTTTCTCAGTATATACTGCCCAGCCCTACTATTGCATTAGATTTCCGGCATCACTAACCTCTAGAAGTGCATAGCTCTCCAGTCATCTATTTCAAGTTGTAGAGAACAAAAAGTTATATATGTTCTCAACTGAAATGCAATGCTGCTTTTACGTTCCTCACTGGCATTACTCCACATACTGCTATCATACAGTTCGTCTCACTTGCACTCTAAAATCAGCTGCCTCACATCTCATTAAAACAATAACTTGTTAGATGATAAAAACCAGAACGATATTTTTATAGGTGTGGGTGGAGCTTGAGTGGCTTTCGACCACACGATGGATACAGTTAGCATCCAAATTTCCAACACAATTAACCAGGGCCTGGTATGAAAATAGAACAAAATAGGATTCTTACTTGAAGCAGCTCCTATGATACAGTTTCCCATCCACTAGGTGTCTCTGGACCAGGTGAACATGACTCCTGCATACCGTGCATTTACTGTTCAAGGTGCCAGTTTTATTGGAGGTTTCCACTAAAACAGTCTTTTGCAAAGAAAGATGAAAGACAAAATCAACATGAATAAATGCAAGATGGAAGTTACTTACTTACTACATCACCTGTCAAATATAAGCATTCTACAAAGTCTTCTACATCATTCACACTTCAAATTGAGGCTCAAAGCCTCCTGCCTCACCCCTCTAAACATACAGTTATACACTAGAGGGGGCTCAAAGCAAGCTCTATTCCATCCACTCTATAAAACACAGACACTGCTGCTGTGTTATGTTCTGCGGTTTGCCACAGCTCTAAAGAAGCATAATTCAGACATCAACACATATCTTGGCAGATTAACCACCTTTGAGGGAAAGATAAAACTGTGTACATTTGACCTTTGGTCAAACTATACTGACCTACAAAGGTTCAACATTGTTACTTTCTATTTTAAACTGGGCCAAAATGATGACTGGAATATACGTACACTATGTTGGGTTGGCATGTGCTGAACATAAAAATGTAAAAAAAAACTAATATCAAGTACCTTGCTTATCTCAGCTTACAATATTTCCACACTATTGTAAAATACTACATGCACATACACGTAATGTTCAGAATAAACAGTACTCCAGATAGCACAAGAAGTATGAAGTGATGGCACAGCAATTTTTAGCGTGAGCTGTGAAGGTGCACAGACCAATAACACACTAAAACAGCTGTACAAACATGAAACTAAGCATGGCCTCACAATGTGACAACATAGAGGGAGCTTGTGAAACCAGAGCTGCTTTACATATCTTAAAACTCTGGTGAAGCTGCAACTTATTTAACTAAAAACACAGTGACAGTACTTCAAAGTGTCCACGATAAATTATTAAATATCACAGTATACCTTATTGCTGAATATTCTAACTCAAGTTACAGCTAGAAATACTGGACATAAAGCAGCTGCAGATTACCAACTAGGCACAAAGCGACATAATGTAACATGATGATCATCCCCTTCATGACTTTTTGGATCTGCTTATTATGCTTACTTACTTACTTGCACCAACACAAATATCAGCGATGCATCGGAATTGGGAGATCTTTGCTCAAAACATAAATTTACCGGTACTTATTTTGTCAGATCTGCGTTGCAACTATATGATGTAACTGACACGAGCATTTGAATGCTGCTGCTACATCTGCACTAAATGTTGAAGTTTACCTATTCAAGGCTCATTGTGCTAAAAAGCCATTTGCCTCCTACATTCAATGTACTGCTTTATTTCATTGATGAACTTCAATAGGCAATGGATTTTTAAAAAAAAAATCAATACCAGAAAAGGAAAATTGTTGTTCATATTGCAAGTGGGCATTATTAAAATACGAGAAATATGCTAGTGAGTTGCATGTGTTAACTTACCCCAAACAGTGTGAGATTTGGGTAAAAAAGGCTTAAAAAAAATCATCCATCAGCCAATTTGGCTGTAAAGAAACCGTATTCGGAATTGGCCATAAAAATTCATAATCAGTAAATCACAGTTATTAGATTTATATTAGGAAAAATAAGAAGAGGGTAAGAAATAGAGCACTAGGATACATACCTTCTCAGAAACACTGTCTGACTTTGGAGAGGCTTTCACTCTGGATGGGGACACACTGGCTGGAGAGTGTTTTTGGATGTGTGTGGATTGGGAATGTTTTTCAACAGCAAGTTTCTGTGTTAGTGAGTTTGAGACACGTTGCTCTGTTCTACTGCTTTGAATGAGAAGTGGTGGACAGTTCTCCCTGGCAGTTTTTGAGGTAGTAGCAGAAGAAAGTGGCCGGGTCTCTGGAAGCGCTTTTGGGTTGTAGGTTTTAGCAACAACGGGAAGATTCTTCTTCTCCGATGGCTCCTCCTTAGAGCCCTCTGCTGGCCGTTTGACACCTCCAACTCCTCCTGCTACGAATAAAGAGCATTCATTTAACACCTGATCGTCTTACATATGATGTCCAGGTGGCAGAGCATAACATAGGATGGAACTTAAAATAGACTACAAAATTAAATAGATACTTTCAGATATTCAGAGGAAAAGTCTAGAGGCTAGAGGCTAGAAAAGGCATAAACTGCTTAGCCCAGCAGCTGCTACAACATTTGTGTCAAACATTTGCATAGATGCAACAGTAATGACAGTAAGAGTAGCATCAATAATTGATCACCAACAGCACTATCAGCTTACTGGGTGAGCGGCCATTGAAGTAGTTATAATACTGAGAGACGTAAGTAAGAATGCTGAGTCGGTCTGGGACAGGCAGTGCCACCATGTCCTCAGCATCCAAAAGAGCTGGAATCCCCAGGTGGTCCTCCGCCACACGGAACGCCTGAAAAACAGACCCACAAGACCACACTTAACTAATAAAAACCAGGCTTATAACTCTTAGAAACAGCAAGCAAGATGAATGAGTACATTTAAGTCAGCACTGAAGGAGGTAAACGTAAAAATAAAATACAAAGAAGGAAAGACTGAAGGAGACAGAACCTATTAATCAACTTGGAAGGCACTGCATAACCCCAACAACAACAACTGCAAAGCAACCAAAAGACTTCAACACAAGAACATCTTAAAAAACTCCACATGACCTCCTTCTACTGCTTCAAACCAGCAGCGTGGCGTTCTGGAACCAGTCACGGCATCTAGCCAATTAACTATAAACACAGCCCAGATGAGGAAAAAGTAGAGTCTCTCAAAATAGGAAAGAAAAAGTCTAGTAAGCAGCAAACTTTGGCCCACACGCTGTGCGGAGGCTGGCCAGGAGGACATAATGAATAGCATGTTTCCCGTGCGCACTGTAGGGCCTGGGAAAGAGGAATTGGGGTGTAGGGTGGGGGGCTAAGGGGGCTTTGTTTGGGATTGACCTGGACACGCTCATTCAATTTTGCAGGACAGCTGAGGACAGGCTCAACATCCTCCTGCTCTGCAGCGGCTGCTACAGAAGAGTGGAGGATAGACAGCAAAAGGTTTTCTTACTCAGTTAATTTTTCACATATCTATAGTACATAACATCACTAAAATGGGTAATAGATGGGGATAACATTGAAGCAAATCAACATTACCTGTCTTTTAAAATGAAAAAATAAACAGGACATGACAGTAGATATGGACGTCTACCTAGGGTTTAAATCAAAAAGTTGTTAGGACTTCATAGGCCCACGTGCGGCTACAATATCAGGACTTAGAAACGAACAGCCATGCATTGTTTAGTATTTAAATGCACCAATGAATTAACATTTGTCATGACAGTAGTAGATCACAGGTAAGCTCATCTAGATGGGAAGGATCAGATGTTCTGTTGGACGACTGAAACTCTGCTTCATAATAGATGAGCTGGAGTGACTCCTCGCAGCTCAAGTTCCTCCAGCAGCAACTAGTGTTTCAGAACAGATCAGCGAGTGTGCGCCCCACTGCAGGGACCCGTAATCTGGGCTCTGTGAGGTAACAGGAGGGAAATAAAGCTCTTCATAATGGAAAAGTCCCAGCTGTGGGACGTGTGTGTGTGTGTGTTAGACCTGAAGAGTCTCACACACTCATTATACACTTACTGACAATCACAGGAAGGAGGGATGAGAAATAATTAGGTCACTGGGCCACAGCAGCCCTGCACTGTAATGCTCTAGTCTTAATTAAAATGATACCCTCCTGGACAGCTGAGGGTTGCAGTTGGTATAAATATACAGAGTTCCTTACTGTGGGGTACAGTGGTGCCAACATGTTCAGCTGAATAGTGTTGACATTCAGATCACACACATTTACTTGCGCCTGTGTCTGATAAACAATGTGCATACAGACCTTTCAACCCGACTCTATGGCCACAACTTTTCATAAAAGGAAATGCTGAAATAGCAGGCAGATCAGACAGGGAACAATTTCGTGTGGAAAGCAGGCTGTGTCGCACATGAATACATGTTCCTATAAAGAACAGCATACATTTGGAGGAAAACAATGCCAGTTCCAAGCCTCAGAGGAACTTGAGGTCAAGACAAACATTCAGTGAGCAACTTGAGGCCCGAACAAAATTCATGAAGTCTCAAATTAAAGTGCAATATAACATTAGACCTTCGATACAAACTGAAATATTAAAACATGGAGAACTATGATGAGGAACAAAACACAGGCTGCTACCATACGGTATTTGTCAGTCATTTCCTTTTAATCAAAGCATCACGTGTCAGGAAATCTTACCAAGTGGTTGTTGTCATACACATTGTCTTTACTGAGGGCCTCAAAGTTTCTGAAAGAAAACAAACGGACATGAGTCACATTAGGCATGATAACGACTAGTAACTGAAGCAGTTCCTAATGACGGCACAGGAAACACAATAAAAAAATTACACACAAAATAGGCTATTCATTCTAAGAGTGCCCCAGACACAAAAACGTAGCAGCTATTTCTAATGTAATCTATGCTGTTTACATCTTGTGTATTAAGCTGTTGAGGTGTTGAATGAAGATCAACTGTAACCTGTTCAAGACAGGCTTAATATATTTCATTTTATAAGATCAATTCCTGACACAATCAGCAAATAAGCAGGATGTTGGGTGTGTGAGCGAAAGTGTATATTAATGCCTTGAATTGACACCAAAGTGTGTAAATATATCTTCCATTCCTCCATTCTAGTTTGCACATCACTTACTTTAAAAGTTTTAATGAACTGAAATCATTAAAAACAATGCTGTGTGAATGATACTGTCTGTGACTTACAAATGTTTACTTATTTGTGTGAAAGCCTGTACAGTCATCCGTTACAGCAAGAATAAACATGGAATGTCTGTTATTTTAGCAGCTGTGTCCCGTACAAAGCTCTCTTGAACATGTAGGACTTTGAGAAGTCTGATATGAACAACACTAGAGTAGCACTTCAACACAACACTGCCTACAGTGTCAGGCATTTGTATGTAGGTGCAGTAATAAATAGTTTCAGTTCACTAACGTTTCTGACGGGAAACTCGAGCTCAGTGACTGAGGCAATTCAATTTAATAGAATGAAATAAGCAGGAAACATTTAAAGCGTATTAACTCACGATGTACTAAAAAATAAAAAAACAATTCTTACATGAGGTCCGGTCTAAATTTGTGGATGAGAGCGCAGAAGGCCAGCCCGTCTCTGAAAGAAGTTGTCATGTTCACGATAGTCACATCTCGGTATCCGTCGCACTGGATTTTGCACCACTGCTGCAGCGCCTTGATGGCAGCCATCCTCCCCTCAGCACTCAGGACTCTTCTGTTCAGCAGTCTCTCTGTCCCTCAGAGCTAGAGTGGGCCGTCCTTCCTCCTGCTGCCTCAGTTGATATAGTCAAAGCTGGGAAACCACCACGAAGCCCTTTGTTTGTGAGACTCAGCGCCGGAAAGCACTAGTGAATGCGTGAGAAGCTCGAGTACTGAGGAAAAAAGTTATGGAAGATTCAACATTTGGATGTTTTTCACAAAGTGACCAATCAACGAAGAGGCACCTGAGCGGGAAAATGAGCGAGGAGGAGGCGGAGCTTTGAGTCTTCTGCTGAACGTTAATTGGCCTCTTCTGCATCCTCATTATTAAAGAGTGAAGCGAAGTTTGATTCGTTTGACTGATCCGATTCTTTGAACAGGTCATTGAAATGAACCGAACGTCCGATTCAACGATTCATTTTGATTGATTCAAGGCCTTAACTTTAACCTTATTCCCTCCATATGCAATGACTTTCGATGTTACAAGAAAATCTGATGTCCTCTACTTCTAGTTGCTAATGGAGACTGTTTAAGCGCAAGGCTGGGACACAAACACAAAGAAAAGAGAAAGTAAGTTACAGAAAGAAAATATGTCACAATATAGTATCATATGTTGTGATTTTATGAGTTCAAAAGGGCCAAGTTTTTCTTGTATTTTCATTTTTTCCCTTCTGAGATCCACTTATGTTGTTTGTGTGGTTTCATATGTATTCATACATATTTATATATTAAATGTTTTCTACAGCACCCTGGGGTGGAAACACTTCTTATAACTTCCAACAGTAGGGTCTAAACCGCTGTAGCCTACATATGTGCTAGTATTCATGACATCACTAAGCAACCCTGCTGAAAAACGACCATTACAAACCATGAGGATTAAAACGTGATGGTTTTGCTTTCTAATGGGAATTAGCATTATGGTTTCCAATAGAGACCACTAGTTTCCTGTAAAACACATTTAGATCCCATTAGGAAACCATCAAATGCATTTAGAATCAGCCATTGGTCACCTGTGAAACCATTAGGATCCTTTACACTGTGATGTCAACCCCTTCAAAAAGCCTGAACACATTACCAAACCATCAGGAACCAACAGAAAACTCACTCAAAAAGAGGTGCTTTTGCAGCTGAGTTTCCATATATGGCCTATATGGATGGGAGTGAACAGTATTTTTTGAAATTATGTTTAAATTATATTTGGTTTTCCATGATAAGGGGCCTTTAAATAAAGAATGTAGGTTCCTGCAAAGTGGAGTACATAGGGTATTCTGACATTTTAAGTGTGATTCCAAACCAAAGGGAGTGAAAATATTCTGTAGGAAGGGAACTTCAAACTGCTTAGGGAGTAATCAACAACAGTTTATCACCTCAGAGGAAACTGCAGGAAAATTTACTCACCAGTGATTGCATTCTCTTGAAGAGCGCTATTGTTTTGTGCTTGATGATGTTGCAGGGCGTTCCGAACGGAGATGCTTAATCAGCTGAAGTTCACTTAAAGGGGAATTTCACTCACTTTTCAAAATATTAACATAATTCTATCTTTGAGATGTAAACAAAGTCATTCAAAGTGTTTCCTTAAGAAATGGTGCATTTTTTGAAAAACTTACTGAATCAGATTTCTTGACAGAGTTGGTGGTAGGAACCAGAGGTCATCAAGTGTGCAACAAAAATACAGCCATTTTGTTTTCTATCCAAAATGACCAGTGAGCCTACATGTGTCCTACGGGTTTTTTATTTTATTAGAATCCTTCAGCGTAGTCTAACAGTAATATAACCATTGGATACATTTAAATTGCCCTACGACCAGAACAGCGAACACTTTTCAGCAGCCCTGGTTCTGGAAGTATAAATCCCATTCATTTTTTTCCATACAAATTTTGAATTTCTTTAATATGAAGGTGAATATAAAATCCTATACATCTTGTCTTTCATATTCTGCACTCCACAAACTGCACTCCACTACACGCCTGGCTTAAGCCCTTTAAACACTTCTCATCCCTAAAAAACACATCATACCTGAGAATAAAACAGTATGATGTGTATGATTGTTCTTTCTGCTTTTCTGGCACCAGAACTTGCAGTCAAAATTACTATGGTATCAGTCTGCCTCTGATTGATGGAGCTTGCTTTAAGATTATGGGTAGTGTTTTACTCTATGTAGAATATGTGAATAAAATATGATTTAAAAAAAAAAGGTCAGATCTGACTGGACCGATCTCGCAGCTCATGCTATTCTCCTACATGGAAAAGAAATGCATGGACATGTACTTGTGAGATACATTTCAAATGCTTTGTTTAATTTCAAAATGTATTTCAAACACTGAAGTACATTAAGCAATTTTTTTTATTATGCAGAAATGATTAAATTCCTCTTAAATTCCTTATTAAAACATCCCTTTTAAGGTGTTGATAGATTTAACTAGGAATTAATAAGAAACAAGCAACTAGAAATATGACTGGGAGTTTTACTTCTGGAACTACAATGCTTAACTCTTTAGTTCCCTATTTCAAACAGTGAAAATGTTCAGTTTGAATGGAACTTTAGAGGAAGTACAGAATAACAGTTTAGTACTTTGCAGTTTACCCAGATCTTTTTAGAATCACATGCTGTGTTGTGCTTAATGATGACATTTTAGGGCATTCCAAAACTGTAGTTCCCTTAATCGACATCCAGTGAGCAGTATGTAGCCTAGGGCCTAGGGACCCTGTAGAATAGAATGTTGTCATTATGTACACCACATGTTCCCAACCACGGTCTTAGAGCACCCCTACACTGCACATTTTAGTGTTTTCCAGCTCTTACACACCCACTACAATTTGGGATAAGCTTGTTAATGAGCTAATTAGTTGGATCAGAGGTGCTGGGAGCAGGGAAGACACTATAATATGCAGGGCAGTGGTACTCCAGGACCAAGATTGGGAGCCACTGAGGTAGATGTTACAAGTTTGATTCAGTTAGACTTGTGAATCGGTTCAACTGATTTACGGAAACAAACTGGTTCAAAGGAACGACTCATTTACAAGTCAGACAGCAGTTTTATTAAAGCAAAAATACCATAAACCTAGTGCTGATTCCTGGCTTCGCATTTTAGACCACAGAGGCTTACTTGATAATATCAGCTCCACTTACCATGTAGCTGCTTTGTAGTTCTACAATTACAGACTGTAGTCCATCTGTTTCTCTGCATTCTCTGCCCCCTTTCACCCTGTTCTTCAGTGGTCAGGACCACCACAGAACAGGTATTATTTGGGTGGTGGATCATTCTCAGCACTGCAGTGACACTGACGTGGTGGTGGTGTTTTAGTGTGTGTTGCGCTGGTCTGAGTGAATCAGACATAGCAGTGCTGCTGGAGTTTTTGAACAGCTCAGTGTGACTGCTGGACTGAGAATAGTCCACCAGCCAAAAATATCCAGCCAACAGCGTCCTGTGGGCAGTGTCCTTTGACTACTGATGAAGGTCTAAAGGATGACTAACGCAAACTGTGCAGCAACAGATGAGCTATCGTCTCTGACTTTACATCTACAAGGTGTATCAACAAGGTAGGAGTGTCTAATAGAGTGGACAAAACTCCAGCGGCACTACACATACCAACATGCCACCACGAGGTGGTCCTGTAGGGGTCCTAACCACTGAAGAACAGGGTAAAAGGGGGCTAACAAAGTATGCAGAGAAACAGATGGACTACAGTCTGTAATTGTAGAACTACAAAGTGCACCTATACAGTAAATGGAGCTGATAAAATGGACAAAGAGTGTAGTTGTAATTAACAAAGTGGCCAGTTGGTATATACTTCCATTAGGAGGAAAAATCTCACATAAAATCTCGTGAGTCCCTTTTGAGAGATTGTTGAATGTTTGTAGTCTTTTATTTGAATCATGGTATGATATGAATGCATTAATGAGCACTTCAGCTCTGTTCATAATGGATGTTAACAGAGCCTTCAGCTCTAATTTGCATAGGCCGGCACTGACTTTCTTTTTAGGCCACTGTCGGTAAACAAAGAGTGCTTGTTTCTCTGACCTATATAGTCTTTCATTTAGGCTATCAGTGTAGTGGCATTGAGGACAACATTGCAAACTTAAAGGGGAATCCCACCAATTTTTCAAAATTTCTGCATAATTCAATTGTTGAGATGTAAACAGTCATTCGGAGTGCTTTGAAGGGAAATGATGCATTTAGAAGACACTTTCAAACTTGAACTTCTTTACAGTGGTGGTGGTAGAAACCAGCATGTCACAATGCTAAGAACACAAATATAGCCATTTTATTTACTACCCAAATTAACCAGTGAACCTACCCATGTGTACAGTTTTTATACGTTATTTTAATAATGGTTTTAAAAATGTAAGAATTTAAGTTATTTGGGTACTATTTTGCCTGCATCTCCCTTTTCACTGTGAATGTATTTAGTAAGGATTTAGTAAGTATGTAATATGTAAGGATTTCGTACTGTTTAGGTAGGTTTTAGAGGCATTAAGCACTACAGATGTCTGGTTCCTATCACCAGCACTGTGAAGAGTCCTGGCTTGGTCATTTTCTCTAGAATGAAGCATTTCACATCAAACCATCCTGAATGACTTTGTTTACATTTTAACAATTGAATTTAGCAGAAATTGAGAAAAATCTGTGGAATTCCCCTTTAATGTCCTTATTAAATCTATGTCAAGGTATTGATAGATATAGCTAAAATATAACAATAAACAGGGAGTAAACAAGCAATTACAGCAGTTTACTTCAATTTAAAGTGTAATTTACTTTTATTTACTTCAAAAAAGCTGGTGATTTTACTTAACAGTGTAGCATTAGTATGGGACAGGCCTGATATGGCCTACAAAATGCCTCTGCAGATGCTTCCAAAACCAGAAGGGGGCGTCCTCACATCACAGCCCTTCAGAACCAAAGAGAAACCTACTTTTGCCCTGAGAAGAATGCAGTATCTACTCTAAGAAGAATGGCCAGTTCCTTTATTTTTATTTGCTGGGTATGATTTTCGTATCTCAAATTTTAATGCTGTTGCTGAAGATCTTCCATAAGGCACAGGAAAAAAGTGGTCAGATCAGTTCTGTGTGTTCAGGGCTTCTGACCTTATAAAAAGGCCACAGAGCTCTGTGATTCTGCTGATCCTCCAGGAAGGTCTCCTACTGAGAGGCTCTGAAATTCATTAGACATGGAACAGCTAGGGTTTGTATAACAAACACACAACCGGAGGCCCTGTTGTTCAGAAATGATGCCATATTTCCACAAGATTGACATTTATGATTAAACTAGTCTTCCTAATAACTACAATTTTATCGAAATGTTCCTCCATTAGAAATGCTTTTACTCAATCCATGACAAAAACCTGTAACTGCCTGTGATTACTTTTTGAAAACATTTTATTGTTAACATTAAACTGTTAACATAATCCTCACCTACAGTACGAAAGGGGAAGGAAAAAACATGACAAGTGTGTTTGCAAATGTAATCTTGGAAGAGCACCTCTGTCAGAGGGACCAACCATCCCCATTGTGTTTGCCCAGAGCCTGTGGCAGCTTGCAGACATCCTGTGTCAGTGTAACAGGATAGCCGACGGAAGGGGCGGCCATCGATGAGCTCATCACTCGTTTCCTTTTCAAATAAAGCTCTAAACGTTTGTCTTTTAATAGCTCTGATATGGTTTCCCCAACAACCATGAGAAAATTATTTTACCCTCTCCAATCTGGAGAAGCACAAATCGCATGTAATATTGTAAATACAGCCTTTGGGTTACATCGTACATAGACAGCATTAAAATCGTTTTATTCTAGATTGATTCCGAATCATTATTATACCAAGGGATGCACAATGATATCAGAATCATATTAGTATCAGCAGATGTTTAAAACCAATATTTGATGGTGTATTTTTAATGCTGGACCATAATATTGGCATTTAATTCATTTTACTGCATTTAAACCCTATAGAAATAAATATTTTATTTCTCTGTAATGCTAATCCAGGTGGATCTTATCCCAATTTCTATATTTTATAAATGTTTTTGTATCAGCATCAGCAGATATATACATGAAGTGTATTGGATAATGACATCAGCTCACAATTCCCATATCAGTCCATTCCAAGCATTATCATAGATAATGGAAAGCACATTAGAACATAAAACAAGCATCATAAAAAGATTAAATGAAGTAGGCCGGTCACAATTTCAACTTCATTTATAAAAAAAATGCTGACTAAAATTGACCTTCTCAATAAATCACCAGTGTTAATTGGCAATTTTCATATTTACACTAAAAAGGAATGCCACCACATATGCACTTCTATTTTTTGTTTTTTTGCTGCATAGTGTTTTTAAAGTTCATCATCATGAATCATTTTTTTTACAATAAAGTATTTTTGTGAAAAAACAATCTTTAACAGGGCTATGTATGGTGTGTAATTGTCCTATGAAGTTCATTTTAATTTTTTGGCCTTTGATTACTTGATAAATAACCAGAATTATTGGTAGGTTTCTTGATATAAGATTACTTATATACTATCAATAGTGACAGCTCTAAAGTATTTACAGTACTGATGCCTCAAACATCACACAGATATGAAGCTATGATGGAGGAAAAAAACTGAAATCATAGAAACAAGAGGACATGTTCACAGATTTGTGTTCTTGTTTTATGTCTCACACTGACATTGTTTAATCCTCATGTGTGAACAAGGAACCTACGTGATAATGAGGTGACAATAAATAAACTGGCATTACATGAATTCAGATATTTCTGCTCATCCTGTATTACAGTGTTGTTTGTGTGCTCTGCTGGCAGGTCTCTATCAGTTACTGTCCGTGTCTGCGGTGAACACCTGCGCTTTTAGGTGCCGCTCCCTGCTGGCCTTGGCCACGCTGCTGTGGATCTCGGCCTCATAATCTCTGGCCTTGGCCCTCAGCTTGGCGATGCTGCACGAGCGGAACTCCTCCTGGCTGGGGCGCTCTGACCCAGACCCAGGGCTTCTCATGGCTGCTGGTGAAGGCTTGGGCCATGAAGAGCTTCCCTTCTCCTGCTTCCTGTCCCAGCACGGCCCCTGGACACTGTCCGGCTCTGTGCTCCTGCTAGACGGCACTGGCTGCCTGGCCTCACTCTCCCTGCCAGTACATGGCTCCTCCACCTGGCCTTGCAGCTTCATCTGTCTGCGCATTTTAGCCCTGCGGTTCTGGAACCACACCTGCGCACATATACACATCTTTTAGGAAAAGTGTTGTATTTGTGGATCAGCAATTACTCAGTCCACAAGAACAATGTTGTTTATAATAAAGTGCTAGTTTACTGAAAAATCTAATTTACAGTTTCCCTTTTCACCAAATGCAGTTCATCAGCCAAGAATTACGAGTGCAGCTAACAAGAGGAGTTTTTTTATGTTTGAATGAGGTAGAAATATTGGTTTAAAGAAGCAAGAGAAAGCAGATAATGGTGTTTGTCATTATGTCCTCTAAGAATGATTTGCCCTGCTGGCATTTGCAGGGGTTCGGTACATTGGCTGACAAGACCCAGTGCACTGCAAAAAAAAAAAGAGCTGTATACGTAGAAAACGTTCATAAAAAATGACAACACATGCACTGCATTTCACAAACGCTCTGCAAAATAATAAAACATGCCGCAAGTTTAAAAGTGCTCTCCAAATTCAGGAAACACTTTCATCAAGACGATTACACTAGCACTACATTTTACAAATGCACTGCAAAAACAGAAAACACGAAGGAGACGGAGCTATTCAAACTTTTAAACTCTATTCAGCAAAAACATTCACTGGTAAAAGTAAGCTAACTTTTATACAAACAGACCATTTACATAATTGTATTGTAAAGGGAATCAGCTGTAGAGTGTAACTGTACAATTTCAAATAGCCACACCAGATATGAGTGATAACTACTGTAGTACAGCTAGTAACAGCTAACTAGCCAGTCAGGATAAGCATGAACCTACTGGAATGTGAGCCTCCACAGTCCTATCAACCTCTGTCAGTCCGTCATTTTCCTTCAAAGATTTTCCATTCCCTTTAAGAGTCTTCCAAAAACATTTCCGATGTGTTGTGATGGGCTTTGCAGGGTTTCTGAAGTTGCATGTGTTTTCTGTATTTGCAGTGTGTTTGTGAAATGTAGCTCAGGTGCAGTCATGTTGATGAAAGTGTTTTCTGAAATTGGGTCATGTTTATGAGTTTGCAACACAGTTTTTATTGTACCGTGCTGTTTAGTTCAGTGGACAACAGTGAAGTGGGGCAGTGACTTCAGACCTCATTAAAGAGGCCACTGCCCATGCAGCATGGCATTTCCGAACAGTTAGGGCCACAGCCATGTACTGTTGGGCTGTCAAAACTGCTCTACTGAGAGCTAATAAAGGTTTAAAAAACTAAACTGTATACTCCACACACAGCGAGTGAAACTCTTACCTCACGTCGTAGGGTACAGGCGCGTCATGTACATTCATTCACTTGTATTTTCTTTTACCAACCTTTCAGAAATGCTTCTGAAAATAGCAAAAGGTATGAATGGAAACCCTGCTATGGAAACTTAACCCCACCAATTAGCATTGTGCAAATGTCTGGTGCAAATTTGTCCATTTTTATACAATAACAGAAACCACATCAGCAAGTCTATTAAGTTCACTTACCTCAACAGGGTTTGAGGTAGAATGTGATAAGGCAAGAATTATGCACCAGGTTGGGTTCCGGAGCCCCAGGCATGAGGAATGAGGCCCTTGGATGCCAATTTTTAAATGAGTTTATGCTGATATCTTGGTGAAATTGTCTTAGATCTATTTGATATCTAATGTAGTGTTTCATTTTGAGACTGTTGTAAGAAAATTATAAGATTATTTGAAGGCCCATATCCTACCTTTTTCATGTATTTTATTTTTTTGTGGGTTTAGATAAAAAAAAACAGTCATAATTAATTTTTACGTGACAATTCTCAAACCTCTCTATTACTTAAATATAATCAGGATCTTTCTGTTACTGCGTCTTTAAAAACTGATATATGCAAATGACCTCTGTTCTGACTGGCTGCCTTGTTTTGTGCCTTATCCAAAAAGCAGACCAGGATGAAACACTCCTTATAACTTCAGTGTGAGTGGGTGAAGCTTCATGTTAGCAACATTAACTTCGTAGCTAGTGCCAAACTGAAGAAGCAAACTTCAGACACTAAACTACCAAATGGAGTGCATTTAGAATAAGACCTGCTATTGCATTAACAGTTTCCCATAAAAGCATGGCATTGGTATATTTATGTACCACGCTTCAGCATGCAAAAATGTTCTATACAGAACCATATACAACACGTTCTTCATCAATCTGCAGAACGCTTTCACCATGCAAAGAACCATTTTAGCATGAAATGGTTCTATATAGAACTCATGGTTCTGAATAGAACTGCTCCCTTTACTTAAAGAACACTTAAAGAACCATCTTTTTTAAGAGTGTCCCAGAAAGCAAGTGCAGGAATGAGGTCTCACCACAGCTCCAGGTCTATGTACTGCTCTGCAGCATTTCAATGGTTTACAAGAACAGAGATCTAAACCACGAGGCCGTACCTGCACCCTGGCCTCAATCAGGTCCAGTCGGAGGGCCAGGGCCTCGCGCATGAAGACGTCAGGGTAGTGTGTGCTCTCAAAGGCCTTCTCCAGCTCCTCCAGCTGCCAGCTGCTGTAGTTGGCTCTGGCGCGACGCTGCTTCACTGGCCGTGGTTCATCTGGAAGCCGCATCACAGTGGCCAATTAGACAAACGCTGACGGGCAACTAACGGCTCTAGATTGGCTAATTAGCGCCAGCGTTCATTAAACTCTCTTCAGCAGAGGCGCGTAATTGATTGTTAGTTACGAGCTGTTAGGCGATCCTGTGTAAACACTCCGAGTCCCATTAAAATGTGGAGGGTGGATGTTATCAGAGAGCAGACCACATCCTCAAATTACCTCTCCTACTGTGCATGTACATTATTAAAAATCTATTGCCTCAATAAACAATGCAAAGCACTCTGTTTTGCCGCTTCACTGGTCAAAAAACAGCCCTTTAACATACATTCTTATAGGCTGCTCTGTTCTATGTTCTCTAAGATGTATCTAAAAATCTTCTAACTCCAAAAAATGGAACTTTATTATATTTATTCATTTGATAAGGAATTAAGTAAAATGTTTTAGATATTTACTTTTTGATGAGACATCAACGTTCCAAAAATGCATATAAGGATTCTATGATGTCTCTACAAAAAACACTGGACAAAAACCTTGTTTCCTCAAAATATTATCTCTAGTTTTGGACCATTCATGTCGGTCCATTCATCATGCCATTTTCACACAATGTAAAGGGTAGCTGGAATTTTCACATTATGTCCAAAAATTTTTTAAATTAAATATATGTATCGTCAGTGTCCAAAGAAAAACATGTATCTTCAAAATAGCACTTTTACAGGAGCAGGCAAAACTTTCTTAGCTTTTAATGTAAGTTTTATTCCAAGTGATTTTGGGGCATTCTATTGGTCCATTCACCTTTAAATTTTCACATAATGTAAGAGACAGCCTCCATGTTAAGATAAAATTTTGATAAAATAGCAGATACATGTTTTTGTTTGACAGAGATGTCATACAGGGTTGTAATTTAACAATACATGTATTGGAAGTACATATTCAGAATACAGAAATTAGGTTTACGTTTAGTTAAAGGCAGTATTCAGAATACAGTTACCCTTATTTTTTAGAAGAATACTTTTAGAGTATTTACTCACTAAATGTAAAAAGTATACATCACCTTTAATAAACACCATCAGTGCTTGTTTATTAACTATTTTAAAATCGGGGCATGGAACATAAAGACTAGAAGAACTACAAAAAAGGCTTCTTTACAAACACTGAAGTTCCTGCTGTAGTAGACTGATACTAAGATTAATCTATGTGATGATCAGTTATTAATCTCGGTGTTACTAAGCTCTGCTGAAGCCTGAGTAGACTGATAAACCAATGAGATGATCAGTTATTAATCTTAGTAGTACTGAGACAACTGAAGCCCACAGACAGTGTTTTTGAGAATGTTGTAACTTGTACATTTTTTTAAAGAAATTAAAATATTAATAGAAGAATTATATGACTAAAACTGCAGTAACAGTAACAGCAGGAAGAGCGTGAATTAAATAAAAACTACAACAGCAGAGTTTTTCCCATGTGCCTTACCACTACACATTGTGAATGCATTACTTTTTGTGTATTGTACTGGAATACATTACTGGATACATTTAGGACAGTGTACTCATTATTCAGCAATTTATATACAAATTATAATATAAAAATATAATTTATACATAGATATATAACTTTTTGCAGGCAAGAACATTATCTAATTAGTTTCAAAGTCAACATTTAATTCCATTGAACAAACTGATGATATACTGCATAGCTCTTACCAATGTTCTCAGAGAGGTGGACCATGCCGGTGGCCTGTGAGGCCAGCAGCAGAGCTTGTTTGCAGGGCTCAGGCTGCAGGTAGGTCCGCAGGAGCTCATAGCTGAGCAGTGGAGTGGGGATCAGGAGCTGAGGAGGGCCCAGCCTGCTGGGGAAAGCAGGGAAGAAGTGAGCTGCTGGGGAGTGAAGGATGCCAGGGCCCAGAGTTGACAGGAGCTGCCCAGAGCCAAACATGATGACCTGCTAAAGATCCACAGAAGACAGTCCAGTAGAGGCCAGAACAGCAGTAAGCTTGAAGACCCAGAGCAATAGATGTTTGGCTAGATGGCGGCTGATCTGATCAGGTACATGATCAAACCTCTGCAGACATGCCTCTCTTGATGTGAAGACGATTTACAGGTCTTCCTTGAGATTAGGTGGCAGATAACACTGTAATATGAAGCTATTGGAAGATTCGTCACTGAAAAGCCATGGTATCTGAGGAAGCTCCAAGTTGGTCAGATGAAGAAAAGATCTGCACTCTTCTTTGGGGTAAAGCTCAGTCACCTGAGTCAGGTGTGATTTCCACTTTCATAGGGCCCCCACCTTCTCTTGTGGTCACATGACCCACCTGTGACCACTAATCCCCACTTGAACAGGGCTGGGTTTGAACAGAGAAAAACATCCAATCATAGGTACGGGAATTCACCCCACGCTTCATTTAAGAGCAGACTCTGAGAGCATCACTCTTCATCAGTGTTCCACCGTGACACCTAATTCCTTCATATCCCCACCCCAGCCTGATAAGAGAGCGGTGAATACAGTCCCTCACTTCCATTTGGGGAGGCCTTTGTTTGTTCTGCCATGCTCGTCAGGCAAGTTCGGGCACTATTCGGCTTCTGTACTCTCTATTAATGTGACAAACCAGACACAAGGCACTGGAGTGTAACGAGAAAAGAAAGGAAAAAAGCCTTGTTCCAGAGATGCGAACACTTAGACAGACACGTATGCAGTCGCCGGTTAGGCTTGCTTCTCCGTCTATGCGTAGTCATTACTGCAGTCATTTGTGAGGCTTAGGTCTTGAAAACAGGCGCTTGTGAAACAAGGATATTAAATCAGAGAGAAAGGATCAGAGGTTCACAGCTGAGAAGCTTTCAGTAAGGACCCCCCAATACACATAGAGATTTAGATAAAATCTTCGGCGAGAGCACAAACAAACAGCCTCTATTTGCACAGTAAACACATCCCACTAATTGGCCCACATAATTGACATTCATTTACTAGCCCATTTACGGCATATGGCTGTTTGCATCACACTCATTTGCTCCTCTACACGTCCGGAAAAAAGAGAGAGAGAGAGATTGTCCTCTGGGAAGATGCTGATGAGTTTCTATAATCAAATGTGACTCAAAAATGAAATTTACAAAGCCGGTTGCGGCTGAAATGCAGAGAGTGTCAGAGCAGCTGGGAATTCTGTCACCAGATGAAAATGATTAAAGCTGACTCCTTTGATCCAGGAACCGTCTGAGTGGGTTATCTCTCTCAAGCCTGTCCCCACAATGAGAAGAAGATCACCTGCCCAAACAGAAGGAATTGTTTCAGGGCTTGGCTAAGGACAGAGTTCACTAACAATGGCTGTGGGTCACCGATCCCTGTCCTTTGAAAACCGATCGCCTTCGCAGCCAACACTGGATTGACCAATCAAAGGTGTTTCAGACCCTTCTTGCCCTCAAAAAGCTGAGGAACTGAACTGGAGTGGTCCAAAACTCTGTCAGATGATATGATTTCTCCAATGCAGAAAGCCGAAATGAAGATACCTGCATGACCCTACCCTCTATTGCAAAGGGTCAAAAATAATTTGGCGACTTGTGAAAACAGGAAACCTTCTCACACATCTGCGTTTACATCTGGACACCATTCAAAGAGGACAGCAATCCATTCGACGCAGCTGCATGGCAGGCATTGACGGACAGGCGATGAGTGCGCCATGATCGACTGTCTGGGAACCAAACCCAGGTGTGTCAATTAATCCACTGAAAGCGTATTACCTCGCAGTCACCCCCGTGCACCCTGACGGCTGATCAGATCATGCAGAGCTGTCACCGGCCTCAGCGTGCTAACCACCGGGGCTTTGATCAGCCCTCAGATAGCAAAGCTGGGAAAAGCCGAACACTCTGAGTCACGAAGGAGCAAGGAGGACAACAGATCTCTCTACACCTGTCCAAACACCAGATATCCTCCGCACACTGTCCGCACTAGTTTCAGCAGCTTGAGGTTAATAACAGGTGTTGTTGGGAAGTAACTTTCAATGCTGCAGAAGCTGAATGCAACACTGGAGAATCATGGAAACAGTTCTGCCACAGGAATTTCTTGATCCAATGACTAAAATGTAGGTCTACAAAACAAGTCCTAAGATATTAAGTTTGCTTTTTATCCTTTTGTAACACCAGACATTGTTAATTCCACCTGGCTTGAGTTGTCTACTAGTTTCCAGCCCTGGCCCTGGAGAACCCCTGCCTTGTGTATTTAGATGTTGTCCCTGCAGTAACACACCTGATTCAACTAATCAGCTACTTAACAAGCTCTTCCTGTGTTAAAGTGGGCAAAAGCAAAATAAATAAATAAAAAATAAATTTGTGGGCAGGTGTACGTCTTCTACGGTGTTCCTTAGAAGAAACCTTTGATGTTTCTGCATAACTAAGTCATTAAAATGTTAGTAAAGTAGTTCAGAGTGGTTTAACATGAAATGCGAAACTTATTGAGTCTGAATTGTTCATAGCAGTAGTGCTAGGAATCAGATCTGAAGAGTTTAAGCCCCCCCACCAAAAGGTATTACATGAAATGTTTATAATACAAGGCCTGACGTGTAAGACATTGTTTTACAATAGTTTTGAGATAAAGTCCTGTCCTTAAACATATTTTTAAACTTTCATAGCAGAGAGGTACATATAAGGCAAAATAGTACTCAAAGGAAACTTACTTTTTTCAGATTTACCACTATTTTACCATCATCAACATTACAAATAAAAATGACACTAGTCATTTTGGATAATAAATAAAAAGTAGATGTTGTAGATATCACAAGTCTTGGTTCCATATCATCGCCATTGTAAGGAATACACAATTTCACACCAAACTACTTTGAATTATTTACAATGACTGAAATTAGCCTCTCTGTGCAGGCCCCCTAGGGGAAATTCTGGCAGCAGAATGGAAAGTCACTCAACAGTATATCTTTAATTAATATTAAGAAACTATTTTTATAAGAAATTATTTTCCCCACAAGTATTATCACACACCGTTGGCTCTGTGATGACTACGTGTTGAGCGGCTAGTGAGCAATGAGAGGCAAAAAGGAGGAGTGAGAACCCCAGATAGCACAACTGCATCGTTCTATATATCAAAACTTTGTGCACAACTGCCACAATAAAAAAGCATTTAAGCACAATAAAAACACTTCTATAAATGTTGACTTGCATACTAATCTACGAAATGGCTTACAGTTTTTTAAAGCACGAACATTTCATTCTTCGAAATACATTACATCAATGTTACTGAAGAAAAAAACGTTCCAATAGATGAAAATTACATTTTATGGCAACTGTAAAGGGTTAATCCTGGGTGCCACAGTCTTTCATAGTTTTAACTATTTCACCTGATCACCTGATCTAGCTTATGAAGGGCTTTATAATCAGTTGATGAGTTGGTTCAGTTGTGTTGAGGCAGAGAATACTTGTGCAAGACACTGGGCACCCAGGAGAAGGACTTAACATTGGTCCACTGGATTGAAAGGACGTTAAATAAGTCCATGTGGTGTGAAGGTCATGGGTAAACAGGGATTTCAAGTCTCTCTAAAATCAGGCAGGATGTTTATACCCCAAACACCTATTTAAGCAATGAATCAGAGTGAAAATGCATGAAAAACCAGACTGACCAATCCAGCCATTAATACAGGAAGCCATTTCTGAACAAGTTGCCCGTGGATAACTGAAGGAGGAATTAGAAGAACAACACTGGCTGTCCAGCTAAAGCCCTGCTAGCCTAACAGGCACTCTGATTCTGTGAATCTTTTATGACAAAGCCAGAACGGAGAGCTTAACAGCAAGTCACAGAATCAACAACTCACTGAAACATACAGAGGAGGGCCGTCACTTTTCTGTGAGGGTTTTAAGCTCCACAAAGGCTTCACCTCCTTTTTGCTAGAGCTGTAAACAAGGGCGCGAAACAGAGAAGGAGAAAAAAGACATGCTTATACAAATTCCCCTCATGCTAACACACTAATCTCAATTGTTTTAATACAAAATCACAATTAAAGCAAATCATTGAAATATAAGATGGTAAATAGGCTGCCTAAATGGGTCGGCAACAGCGGCAAACAATAAACGCAGCACACTATTTGTTATGCTCTTTCATTCGTGGCACCATTAACCGTCTCGAATGAGCGTGTGGCTGTGTCTTAGTGTGCCATGGATTCTCTTGATTGATCTATTTGCGAAGCCGGATCATAATTTAGAAGGGCTAATTGCTTTCTGCAGCACTAGGAAATGATTCATGCATTATCTGCTGACTGTTACAGGCAGGCTTAAACAGCAAGGCTAAGACTCAAAGAGGAAAGGACTAATCCCTAACGAAAGACACCAAAGAGCCCAGAAAACCAGCTCTCTTTTGCTAATCTAAAACAAACAAAGCATGTTTTATTTTTAAAACACTATTCCAAACTGTTGTATTGCATCACTTATTATTAAAAAAAGGCATTTTAGTTGTTGTTGTCGCACAAGCTCAGGAGCTATCAGATTTCAGGCCAGCTGGGCCAGCACAGAACAGAGATGACACAAAGCATTAGCAATGCATAATACCATTAATACTCATCCACAAGAGTGACATTTAAGCAAACACAACGCCTCTACAGGCAAAAAAGAAAAAAAAAGAACGATGATCCATAGTTTGAGTCATGGGAAACTGTGTCTGAATGTTGCAGGCAAGGATAACAGACAGCTCAGATGAAATCAAAGTGCAAGTAGAAGCGTAAGTGAGAAGTAATGATGTATCATCAGAATCCCTGATGAGAAAAACAGCATGAGGACAGGTTAGGTGACACTTTTCAGTGAAACTAAACTCTGTTTACACCAATCGACACTACTGGTGATACTGATCTCCTAGTTTAGCCTGAAGACACTGTAATAACACATAAGTCATCCATTAGCACCTGATTGGTTTTGTCAATTACTACCGACATAAAATGGACTGTAACACAATGTGGGCATTGTGATTTGGCTTGGCACGGTGTCGGTGGATTCCCTGTGTCTTCACTCTCTCTGTGGTAATTGTATCTTCCCAGTCAGCAGGCTGATTGGTTTAGTCCTGGATCACTGGCGCTGGGCTAAACTCGAG